GTCTTTAAAGATGCTGACTTCTGGCTGGCTGGCTCAGTCCATGGAGCATGAGGCTCCTGACCTCAGGGTTGTGAGTTTGAGCCCCACACTGGGTGTAGAGATTGCTTCAAAATAAAATCTTAAAAAAAAGATGCTAACTTCCTCATAAACAAGTTTGTCTAAAAATAATAATAGGTGCCTTTCCTTTGGAGGACCTAGATGGGTTTGTTTTCACACAGGATCAGAAGTTCTACTTTTTCCCTATCCCCATGGCTAAAATGCTTACATGATAAAATAACTAATATACACACACACAAAAAGTGCTGCACCCGAGTACAGGCCGAACATTTTCTAAAATCAGTTAGAACACAACAAACATGCTGCCCAAATATTGCTATAGAGCGTTTTAGGTTTTCCAGGAATATAAATGGCCTCTGCAACAAGGCTTTTGTTCCTAGCCTGCGCCCTCAACAGAAAGTAAGTAGAACATCCTTGAAGGCCTAAGTGCTAAAAAGATAAATACTTAACGTCACCAAAACAGTGGGTCAGAGAGTTTTGGCAGCAGGATTTATAAGAAAATGTAACTGCAGGAAGTAAGAGGGTTCAGAAAGTTCTCTATAGCTCCTAAATTACTACATTTTAAGAGCTCAGTGAGGTCAGTCAGTCCTAAAGACACCAAACAACCCGGCTTTGGAAAGAAACTGATCAGTAAACTTCTACTAGGCCTAAAAACGCAGTCCCGTCCTAAATGCCAGTCGTTCACCCGGCGTGGCTCTTCAGGAGCTACAAGCTGGAAAGGGCACCCTCCGGCCCAGCCAAGGTTTCGGCCTGGCTGGAAACGGACTCCCGAGGGCGCAGAGAGAGGGGGGCGGGGGGCCTCCCGAGCTCAGGGCCTGAACCTGGGCCTGGGCTGCCGGTCTGGACCTCCGCCCCTAGTCCCTGTCTGGACGGAGCCAGGACATCCAGGGTGCAGCCTCCGGCCCGCAGACGAGGCGGGGGAGCCTCGGCCCAGGTTCGGCGTCGGGGAGGCGGCCCCCCGCACGGCCCCGCTCCCGGCCGAGCTCCAGGAGACGCCCGCCCGCCGCGCCCTGGGCTCGCGGGCGCCCGCACGGACGGCGCTAGGCCTCGGCCAACAGCAGCCTCGCCCGCCGGAGCTGCACCCACCTGCCGCCCCCGGCCCAGCGCGCTCCCGCCCCGCCTCTCGTCTACTCGGCCCCGGGGCGTCCGCCTCGAAGCGTCCGAACCGAGGGCACAGCGTCGCTGGCTAGAGCGGCGCCTGCAGGCGGCCGCGCTCAGCCCGGAGCGGGTGGTTGCAAGGGACTTAAGATGGCGCGGGATGTGAGTGGCGGGAAGGCGTGAGCCAGAAGGCAGTGCTCGCCGCACGCTCGCCTTTTTTCTTCCTGCCTCTTTTAGAAAAGACACCGTGGAAAACACACTTTTGAAAACTGAGGATATCTGCAGGTTGCGGGGAGGATTCCGTCCTCGCCTGACCCCTACCCTCGCGGAGAAAAGAAGCCACTGGAAATCTAAGCCGGGACGCGAACTTTGGCTGCCACAGGCCCTCCCAAGTCCAAACTCCGATTTCCTTGGAACAGCAGCAGTTTCTCAGACACAGCGACAGTGTCACTTCACTAGACACCCAAGACACTGAAAGCCAGTAGACATGATCACGCTTGAAAGGGACAGGAAAGCACACACTGCCTCGGAGAGGAGCGCGGAGCTGCAAATTTACCTCACGCTGACTCAGTCCACACAGCAGATGGTGGAGACGGAGGCAGAGCTGCAAGGGAAACGACCTCCCCAATTTTTTAAAGTACTTCCTAATAGCAGCTAAAGTGCGTCTTTCGGTACAAGGCACTGCGTTCCTGTGAAATCTATCCTCGGCTGCTGAGAGCTGCTTTTCCACACACGACGGCAGCTCTTTGCTCGCCGTGACTGCGGCCCGAGGGCGGCGGGGCCAGCGCAGCCCCAGCACCCCGCGCCCTTTGGCCTCGGCGCCCCGCGCGCCCTTCGGGACCTCGACCGCACGTGCGCCTCCTCCCCGGCGGCCCCGGGCGGCCGGGTCGCAGGAGCGCAGACCCAGTGGGGGATGACAAGAATACACTGCCCAACTTCTCTGGCTACACAGGCACCGGGGTTTGTACTTTCGGTCCTCTCGTTCAGGTCTTAGGTGTGGGAAGGGTGAAAGAAACACAAAGGAAAATCAGCCATCGCCTTTCGGTGTGGCAGACTAAACTCCGCGGAACGCCGTCTAGTGGCGAAAGTGCCCAGGGACACCAAATCGGTTTTGCTCCCCCCTCTTGATTTTCATTTTAATTGGAACTTTGAAGCCTCTTTGCATCTCTCGAATTGCAGAGGGGTTACGGGACAATCTCTAGGTGGTGGTACATTTAATCCCATAACCTGAGACTGACCCACACTAAGCAAGAACGTTGAACCATTTTCCACCTCTTTCCCGGATCTCCTTTCTCTGGAGACAAAAGTACAAAAATCGCTTTTGCACGAAATAAAAGTCAGAGCTCTGCGGACTCCTTGACTAAGACGCAGCGGATCTCCTCCCCTCCCCCTAGGCTGGGATATCCACATTTCTGCATTTGTTCTCAAGGGAATGAGATCTGGCTCGCGTAGGACTGGCACAGGAATTTCACTGTAGAAGAGATGGAGTGGTGCCGTCCAGATACCTCCCAAAGCAAGTTTTAAGCTCAGTGCCTGAATACCGACCGTTCCGAGTTTGTTCAATGAGTCCTTACCCGCTCCAACCCCGCCCAATCCCCCGAAACAATCCACTCCAGAAATGTAGGCCATTCTGTGTTTGCATTTACAGATTCGTCACCCATCTCCAAGGCCTCGTATTTAAAGATCGGGATTTTCGACATCTGCCTAAAGCTGTGGTCAACAGCCTATTTTGACATGCATTTCAATCACATCCTACTCTTGCCCAAAGCCTCCGGCTTGTGAAATTTGAAGAAATTCGTAACTCCTTATTAAAGACCCTCGTTTTCCTGCTCGCATTATTTCCTACTTCAGAGAAAATCAGATGGCTCTGATGAAGAAGTGCCTACATTTTCCTGGGGGGGGGGGGGGGGGGGGAAGGGCAACAAAGTGAAACTTGACTCGTAGGGAACTAAGTACTTGTAAATAAGAAGGAAAAAGTAATTACTGGTAGTGCTATAAAACAAGTTTAAGTGGGAAATGGGAGGTGATTCCCATTAAACAGGCTGCCCCATACTCGAGTGGGGACAGGCTATTCTTCCTTAACCCTTAAAAGTAATCACCTATAATAAATTATTTTCAAACTGTAAACTGCTTTCAAACACCATAGCGTTTTACCAGATTTATTTACTTGTTATACACAGACGATACAAACGAGCAAAAAACAAAACGTTTCTCAATGGAGTGTGTACTTGTATAAATTATTCAGTTCACAGACAAAACGAAACAAATATAAAAATCACAACATTAGATTTACAGAAGAGCCAAAATATACACACGTTTAGACCCTGAATTCCTATTAGGAAAAATCCCCCCATGGACTGGAATCTAGATTGAATATTGTGTATGATGCATATTTCACATTAATTTTAAAATACAAAAAAAAAGGTATAGGTTTGCTACACAACATTAGAAATCCTACTAATCTATTTCCAGGGGGATTAATGCTCCTTATCAAATATAACAAGACTTAAGAGGGGGGAAAAAACCAGTCTTACTTGCATTAATGCTAGTGTTTTCCCAAGGAAGTCAAATTTCAGCTGTTTCTAGGTGGCAGGGAAATCATTTTCAAAACTAAAACGCAGTAAAATATACAACTCACACAATTTATCTTCACTAGACTACACTATAGTTACCAACAATTCAGTCATCTATATCATTAGTAGATATTCATTACAAAGATTTACAGCATATAAAGGTGGAGGGGGGACTGAAAAGATATTCAGAAACAGTTTGTCAGCATATTTGGCACCTGCACAGACCAGTAATGGATTTGGCACTTTGGGGAAAAACAAATAAGGCAAAATAATATTGCTGATGTCGAGCTATTCTATTTAGAAGTGGGGGGCGGGGGCTGGGGAGGGACATACAACTCCAGTTAACTTTGCTTTGCAGGCATCATGCCACTTAATCGACTCGCCTATGAACAAGACACCTATCCTTTACAGGTGTTTGGTCGGATTCTCCTCAGCTCTTGGTGTGCATTAGGGCACAGAGTAATTATTTCATGCAACGGATTGAGGAAAAGTGAGAAACCCATCATTATCTAGCAAGTATTTCACGTTTCCAGAGCCTCTTAGAATATTGTTAATTATCTCACAAGGAAAAATTTTAAAGTGGAGGGGGGGGTGGAGAAAATGGCAAAGAAAGGAAAAGAAACGAATGAAGAGGTTAAGCGTGAACTGGTTTTGTGCCTTGACGATGAAAATAAAAACTAGCCATTCGTTACAGTAAATTAACACTATATACAGTCATTTCACAGGCTTTGTTCCACTAAAAGTATTAACATCCCTACCATCCATCCATCCATCCACTCGGGGATAAGAAAGGACGCGCTGGGTGGGTCCGGGTTCTAGAGTCAACATCCTACGGTTAATGGGGAGGCCGAGACTTGGAGGGTCGGAATCGCTGCTGCCTGACAGGACTGCCCAGGTCTCCTAAAGGTGAAGAGTTTCATTACGAGAAAGAGAAGGAGAGGGTGAGAAAAAAGACGAGAGGGAGGAGGCTTGTTAGGAGTGTCACTTCACAGAAGAAGAGTAAGGAGGAAAACCGAAAGGTTGACAGCAAAGTTGAAGGTCGGTGTGCTAACTGCAGAAACTGCTGTGCAAAAGAAGGTTACGACCGCACTCGGAGACCTGTACTTATTCGTCGCAGACGGTATTCGAGGGCCAAATGAAACGAGTGGGTGCGCGAGGTGGGGCGTGGGGAGGAGGAGCTGGGGAGAGCCGCGGGGGGCTGGCTGGGGGGGCGGGGCGGGGGGCGGGGGCCGGGCCGCGGCGGGGCCGCGGGGCCGCGCGCGCGGGGCCGGCCTAGCTGTGCGAGTAGAAGCCGTAGTAGCCGCCTATGTCCTTGGCGCAGTTCTTCTCGCAGTCCCGCTGGGCCAGCACCTCGCTCTTGAGCGGCGACGAGCTCTCGGACACCGGCGTGTCGGCGGGCGAGATCCGCCTCCGCTTGGCCTGCTCGTAAATCCCCGAGTCGCTCGAGTCGATGGACTTGATGGACGATGGGGTCTCGATCCAGCTGGAGTCGGACAGGTCCTTGGGCTTGGCGTCCTCGGCGGCGCCGGGCGGCAGCGGCGAGCGCTCGGCGGCCAGGCCCTCGGCCTCCTCGCCCAAGTAGGGGTTGGCGCCCGCCATGCGCGCGGCGGCCGCGGCGCTGTTGGGCCAGCAGGGCAGCACCGAGCCCGACTTGGCGCCGCAGTACTGCGGGGGGCTGCGCGCGCCCCAGCCCGACGGGTCGGCGTAGTAGCCGAGCGGACGGCCGGTGCAGCCCGCCGCCTGCAGCGGCAGCGCCTTCACGCCCGCAGCCGCGTACGAGAGCAGCGTGGCCGCGTTGCCCGCGAAGTCCGTGGCCGTGTCGTAGGCCGAGGCGGCGAAGTCCAGCCGGTTGTTGGCCGGTGTCACAAACCAGCGCTGCGGCGACGGCGCGCCCGGGTCCTCGGCCTGCTGCGGCGACAGCAGCCCGTTGGTGTGCGGCACACTGCGGTCCGTGCCGGGCCCGGGGCCCGCGCCCGCGCCGGGGTGGAAGCGGGCCTTGGCGTAGTTGCTCACGAACTGGTCCTGAAGGAAAGAACCGGCCATAGCGTAGCGGGCCCCGGGCACGATCTGCGAGCGCGGGGAGTCGTTGGGCGAGGGGGTCAGGCGGTCCATGTCGCAGCCCGTGTAGATCCTGCGAGGGAAGGAGACAGAGAGAGAACCGAGGGGTGGCCGAGAGGTCCCCTCGGGAGGCAGAAGGGAAGGTCACCTCCACTTGTCGCCCACCCCCACATTGTCCATCTGTAACTTGCCGTCCAGGATGGAGACAGACGAAAGGTCACAGACCTGCGTCCTCCCCCAAAACAAAATAAGTCGTGAAATTGTAGAGGGATCGATTTATCGATACAGGGACCTAGGCAAAAAGCACACCAAGAGGAAGTCTCCCCCCTTCCCTCGCTCTCTCTCACGGGCTGCACCGGGGATCAGAGAGCGGAGCGCAGCAGGGGATTCTCACCCCACTTCTGCAATGTATTTATACACGTTAGGGCAGACTTGCCCAGGGACTAAGGTGTTACTTGCCCAGGGGGCTTTTCCTGTGCAGCTAGAGTTTCTGAGCAAAATTTCTAAACAAGAGATCCATTTCTTCACTCCTTTAAGAACACTTTCTTCTCTTTGACACACACACTGGCCTGTCCAGGTAGTAATCATGGAAGACTGGCCTTCACTAGTCTTCTGAGACTGCTGCTGGAAGCCTCTATAGTTATTACTGTCCATTGTTTCCCCCATGTGATCCTGTACCCCCCACCTCTACCAATACTAACAAGAGTTACTACTTAGAACTTAGAAACAAAGTCATCAATCAATCAATACAACTCTTTTACAAAGAAAAGGTGCACTTTTTTTTTTTTTTTAAGTAAGCTCTACACCCAAGGTAGGTCTTGAACTCAGGACCCTGAGATGAAGAGTCACATGCCCTACTGACTGAGCCAGCCAGGAGCTCCAAGAAGTGTTCTTTACTCTGATCTCTTCCTAGCTTTTGATCTGTTACTGGTAAAAACAAACAAACAAAAACAAAACAAAAAAAACATAACAACAAAAAACACCAAAGACCACCTATGGGGCAAACTCTTTAACAGTGGTTACCAACCTCCTCTCGCAATCTCCCACAAATAATAGCTAACCGGTATACAACTTGACTATGTGCCAGGCACCATTGTCTAGGACTGTACAGACAGTAATTTCGTTAACTATCACAACAATCCTCCCAGCTAGGGTAGCATTATTAGCCCATTTTACAGATGAGAAAACTGAGGCGAAGGGAAGTTAAATAATTGCCCACACACAGTAATTGTGTTACTGGGAATCACCTTAGATAAAATAATCAAAGATTCGCTTTAGGTCCTGGGCCTAGAAAATCCCATTAGAATTGAGGGAGAACCAGAGATTGGATCAAGATTGGTAGAAGTGTTTTCTCCTACACATAGACACATGTCTCCCTTTTTATTTAGCTCACACATAAATGTTTTAATCTTTAATCAACACACTGTTTTGAGAGAAAGCCTCAGTTTTGTCAGACCTTAATCCTTTGGGGAGGAGATTCCCTGGTGAGTGGCCAAGCAATCCTCTAGCCCCCCAAACTCTTATTGCTCTCACTGTTTCTCCAAAAGTGAGTCCTGCGCAAAAATTCAGCATGAAAGGGGAAAGGGTGGGTGTCATAAGCCATTCTGCTCTTCCCTATCCCCTGAAAAAGTGTCTCCGTTTGTATAGCTGAAGAAGTTTTTATGAACAATACACAGCTTAAGAATCAAAAAGAAGTGGCCCTTCCAACAGAAGTCAGCCAGAGGAGGGCAGATGAGGGTAAGGTTGCTGTTGCTCAAGTCCATTCTGCTCACTATACAAAATTTCCCTCCTGAAATTTAAGCCCAGGTTCAAATAAGAGAAGTAGAGGGAGGCAGGAAGGGAACGGAACCAGCAAGGTGCAAGTATCTTCTGTTTACCACCACAATATTTTTAAAAGGAAAAAAAGCAGCCTGCAAAAGATACAGTTTAGAAGCCCATCCAGGTCCCAACCCACTTGGGATTACCGAATTGATTTGTGCAAAATAAAATGCTTTGGAACAGATGTTCACAACAGAATTAAAAGCTCAAAATCTACAAGACCCCCTAGTACAGAGACCAATATCTCTGGTCTCCTGGGCCACACACTTTCCATAGTGCCGGGTCCACATTTTTAGGTTGTAAGGACTAGAGTAGCTGAGTTTTTATTCTGGGGAAGCATCTTGATAAGGCTTGCTTCCTCAGAACTCCTTTTGGGGGAGGCACAAGACGGTTATAGACAGAAATATCAATGACTCTCCTTTCAATTTGTTATAAAGATACCAGGAGGGAAGTCTGCTATCTACCTGGAGATAGAATAGAAACAGCCACTTGTTAAGTCTCCACAAATTTCACCTATTTCTGGTCAAAGAGAACTTCAACTTTGTAGCTCTATCCCAGGCACTTAATGCAAGCCATGAAATTAAAAATGTATGTACCCCTCCCCTTGTGGTCAGAGAAAAAGTGGGGGATTCCTATAATCCAGAGTTAGATTTTGCTATATAACAGTATCTGAACTCTGAGCAAGAATGCAAGAAGAAGCCCAGAAAGCACTAAGTTTACATCTACTGTTGCCCCCAGAGAACAGCATTTTTGATAGAAAAGAAATGGAGATAGGTAAGGGAGGCCTGGAGAAAAGGGTACCAACACATTTAATTAAAACACGCCTAGACGCAAAGGGATAAAAGGAAATATTTTTCTTTTGAAGCTTATGAATAATACACAGCAACAGCACCTGGGTCCTTCCCAAAGCCTTAAGTAACTGTAACAGCGGCTCTGCTCATGACCTTGCCTATGACGGGTGTACATTTTTATTCAGTCCATAGTAAACTTGCACAGGCAAAGCTATGACACAAAACTTGAACTGGGTAAATAAAAGCCACATATGCCAAGGAGACTGTAATAACTGCCAGAGCCACGTGCACTTTCCGGCAGGATCGGGCGGTTTCAGACACAGACAATCTGAGCTGAGCATCTGCAGTGCCACATACAGCTCGTGCGCCCGCCCGGGACCCAGGGCAGCTCCCCCAGCCAGCCAGCCCCAGAGGCCCGCCACCAACTTTGTAATTCATAAGAAAGGTAAAAAGAAGTGGAGGAAATCTTTGACCAAAACTACAAAAGTACCAAGCCAGAAGGTCAGCAGAGAGAAGGGGAACCCATGAAAAGGAAAGGGAAAACCTTAAAAACACCTTGCCTTCACACACTCTAGCTTCCAAAAGCCTTGTACGCGACAATTCACCTTTGACCTAAAGCCCAATTGCACAGCTACTTGAGAAGGAAGGTGCAAAATTACTTACGTGTCATAGTTATCCCGAAATCCTTTTGCAAAGGGGTTGTGATCTATTTTCAATTGTGTAATCTGGACAAGACAAAAAAAAAGATGAATACAGTCTCACCTTCTATACAGGTGGATTAGGTGTTTGCAAATAAATCACCACTTTTTACAGGGGCTTAAGGCCTGCAATTTCATTAAGTAGCATGGTTTCCCTACCTGAAAAATTTGAGGGAATGAATGGAAAGGAAAAAAGAGAGAGCATCATGAAAGTTATGAGGAACATGTTTAAATTAATGATGCCTAACACTAAAGCTTTGCTTTCCATTAGCTCTCCTGTGTGTTCTAAATCAGTTCAATGCACATTTTAGGAATACTTGTTACAAAAAGACAAAAATCTTTAAGGGGCACTTGAATTCATCACCAAACGTTGCCTATTTTAAACATTTCACCACATTTTAAAAAGTTGGCCATTTTTGATTCATAACCCCAAGAACCCCTAGCTTCATCTTAAAGCCAGCTTTAAATTAAAATAAATGCGTATTTTCATTTCTGATACTTTCATTTAAGTTTTTAAAAAAACGCTTTGCCATCACTCCTAGTAGTGAAATTAACAGAAGTAAAATAAGTTTTTGTGAACTTAGAAATTCTGAAGTTCAAGTGTTAAAAAACTCATTCCACAAATGTGTCTGTTCTTTTGATCACCCAAAAAGTGATGCTTGTTTATTTCACCCATCAATTCTGAGACTATAATTTTTTTTTTTTAAGATGATGCCAAAGCTTGCCAAGAATAAAATGCAGGGGGAAAGTCTGCTTGTTTTCTGAAGGGAAGAAGGACTCGAAAGAAAAAGCAAGCAAGCAAGCAAGCAGATTTAAATCTGTTCTAGCTTGAGAACTGAATTAAAATTCCCAAGAGGAGAGGCCCTAGAAGTCCTGGGCCCCTCAAAGGCGGCCCGTGTGACCCGTGATGGAGACGAATAGGAAGCGTTCTCCCACCGGCATGGGGTTCAGGGAGGGTGCCCAGCGGGCCCCCAGCCCTCCGCCCGAAGGGCGCCGCGGGGCCCCCGGTTGCTGAAGTCAGCGGAGCGGGGCACGGCCGGGTTCGCGGGCCGCCGCCGGGGACGCGGGAGCCGCCCGCCGCGCGCGCAGCCCTCGGGCCTGCTTACATCGGTGTTCTGGTAGGCGGTGACGGCGATGAACTGAGTCTCGGGGAAAGTGAACGTCTGCACGCGGCCGGGCTGGCTGGTGTCCTCCGTGCCGTCCTCGTTCACTTCCACCACATGCAGGCGGGGCTGGTACTTATGCAAGGACTGTAACACCACCATCTGTCCGGCGGAGAGAAACGGGAGCGCGGGGCGGCGCGTGAGCGCGGTGAGCGTGCGGCGGGCCGGGGCCGCGGGCCGCGCGGGGTCTGGCTGGAGCCCGCCGCCCCGGCTCGCGGACCGCGGGCCTCCCCGGGGCCGGGGACTGGCTGGCGCGGCCCAGACCGGCCCTCGATCCTCCGGGAGCACAGATCACCGGAGCGCGGAGGAAAACCGAGCCCGACCGCCTGGTGCTCAGGGCCTCCGGATCCGCCGAGTCCTCCTTTGAGGAGGAACAAAGATTTTTACAACAGGCAGACCCTGGGGGGGTTCCTTCTCAAAATCAATCAAGTATTTGTACGGCACTCGGGAAGGTCGGGAACTCGGGAATTGGGCGGGGGGCAAGAGCAACTTTATAGGAGGGTAGACATAGAATTTTTAAAAAGTCTTTTTGATGAGGCAAAGAAACGTATGTCCAGTTTCTCATGCTGATTTAAACTAATGGACTGAATGCTAGTGAGGGACGTGTGTGGGAGAGAAAGAGAGAGAGAGAGAGAGAGAGAGAGAGAAGAGACAGAGAGAGACAGAGAGGAGCGCTTGAGCCACTGACCTGCCCATTGTTGTTTGAAGCTCCTTTGTTGTTTGTAAGTTTTAATTTTCCAAAAGAGATTTCCTGGCGCATCCAATGAGCCCCCGTGTTGGGGGAATCCGGATGCATATAGACCCGATTTCCTAGAGAAAGAAATATGTTGTTTACATATGCCCCGGGCACTGCCCAGTCCCCAACTCCTCACCACGTAGAACACACACACACACACACACACACACACACACACACACACACACACCTTATTCCACAGTGAGGCCCATTAGCTGGGGGTTTTTTAGGCCTCCCTTTCTCCTTATTAAGTGGAGATGATTAAAATAGCTTTTGCATAATCCTCCCCCTTCTCGCTGCTCAGTCTGTCCCCCTATCCCCCTCGTTTCCTTTTAGAAGTCATTGGCCGATCGTTTTAAAAGTCTCTCGAGCCAGTCCACAAAGGCTTTAATTAATCATTCTCACCTAAATAAGTGTCAGGAAAATGTGTTAATTGGAAGGACTTGCCTTGCACATTGGTGTCCGCTTTGCCGCAAGGAACCCATTTGCCTCCTTGAAACCTCCAGTGATTGGGATCCGCCAAAATCACATCCACAAAAATATTGTAATGAGCCGTGGGATCGAGACCAGAAATGTTAAAACTTAAAAAAGGAAACATGCGCCTATTTAAATTAAGGGGGGGGAGAAAACAAGAGAAAAAAACATAAATGTTAAAGATTAAATGCAAGAAGCGCGGCGCCAGATAGCAAAGCAAAACTTGTTCTCCCAGCGTCGATGAGCGAATGTTTCCTGGGTTGGAGAAGGGGCGGTGGGGGACGACAAGAAGGGGGGCTGAGGCCGGGAAGACCGGCGGGCGAGCCGGAGCGGGGAGCCGGCAGGTGTCACTGCCCAGGTGGAGAATGGGGTTGGCGCCCCGCACCTCCACCTGCCCTCGGTTCCGGGCGTTAACGCGCCCCTCGGCTTTCCCAGCCGCGGGCCGGGACTCTCCCTCTCTCCCTCCTTTCTCCCGCCCTCGACTGGCTCTCAGACCACCCTTCTAGCGTGGGAACCCCCTTACCAACCTCACCGCGGCGGCTGTCCCTTCCACTTTCCCTTTTTCCAAAACCAGCCAACTCCAGGGCGCACCAGAGCGCCTTCCACTCCGCTCCCGACCCCAGATCATCGCTACCGGGGCGGTCACCACCCGGCGCACTTGCCCCCGGGCCGTGCCTGGAGCAGCGACTGCCAAGAATGTAGCATTACCTTCCCTGTTTGGTGATGATCATCTCCGTTTGGTGGCGGTGAAATTTCAGCCAGAGGGGCCTGTTGCACAGGTACACCTGCGCTTTGCCGGGTACCAGTCCGGGCTGTGTGGAAGAGAACTGGTAGAAAGGGGCTCCCTGGTAGGAGTGGCTGTACTGCTGTGGGTAGGGGTAGCCGGCCGCAGGGTAGCCCTGCGGTGAGGAGTTGGACAGGAGGCTGTTGTAGGCTCCGTTGGTGATGACCGGGTGGTGGGCCATGTAGCGGCTGGGGCTGCCGATGGAGAAGGCGGGGTGCGCCGGTCCGTGCTGGCCGGGGTACGGGAACATGGCACTGGGAGCAGTGGCCGCAGACTGTGGCTGGCTGGACTGAGAGAGGAGGTAGCGATCTGCAGCAGAGCCATCGAAACTGTGACGAAGCTCAGAGACCCCGTCCAAGACAGGAGAGAGTTTACTTCTCTGGACGTCCCCTGGTGAGTCCTTGGAGTCAGGAAAATTGTCTGTATCTGACTGATTCGTCATCCCCCTGGTAATTTTTTTCAAAGGTGAACTTCTCTCCAGGTTGTCAGTGGTCGAGATAATGGGATGATCGTGCAAGACAAGCTCAGATCCGCCTGAATGTGGGTAGCTGCTGCTCACATTGAGAAATTTCTTGGAGAGCATGATAGAAGGAGAAAGGCAGTGCTCCAGCTGCATAGCTCTAGAACCTGAACACTCGCCCTCCTGTCCCCGGTTTTTAAAGTCCTATTTATCATAAACTAGAAATCCACAGACCCCCTCACTAGACAGAAAGCACTTCAACCAGCAAATGCTTCTCAAAGGTTTGATTTACTTTTTTTTTTTCCCTGGGAGAAGAGATTGGCCAATTGACACTATGCAGCAATCAGAAAAGGCTCACTTTTGATCTTGCTGCTTGTGCAGCCGATGAAACGGCTCCTGCCATTGGTTAACTGCTGACAGTAATTTAATTAGATAGACATTAATTAGGATAATCACCTGGCTCCTGGTCGCGACGATCATGGCAAATTGAAGGGGATGATTTTATTGTTGGCTTGGGGGGTGGGGAATGTGTGTTGGCTTTCCGTGAGCACTGTTGTGTCACCTTTAAGCTTTGTGACCACTGCTTTAGGAAGATTCAAAGATGTGCAATTTACTAAACATTTTCCTACCTTCCCCCCACCTCCCTCCTTTCAGCTGAAGGGCGGAGGAGGGAATTCGATGATGCTAGGAGACTTTTCGGATCTGAATGAGCCAAATATTCAGTTGAATGTAACGATTTCAAGTGCAAAGTATACAAAGCGCGAGCCGGTGGCCTCTTCTCGCCCTGTAAAAGTTCCAGAGTCTGTCTTTTCCAGTTAATACAGAAGCACGTAACACCTGAGCCAGTCCTTTGTGAGAAGGTCCTGAGCGTCCTCGACGAACCGACCCCCCCCCCTCACGTACACCTTTTTAACTACATACATAAATAAATAAATCGCTGCTGCTGGGAGCCACAGCGATGAAAGTGAGGGGGAGGGGGAAGAAGTGGGGGCGAAAGGCAGCAACTCACCCACCCATCCACCCACCTCGGGAAGGTTCGGTTTCTTGCTCAGCACAGAAACAGTGACAAATCTGTGATCACCTTTTTAAGTTTTGAAATAATCATAAGCTGTCGGGCTGAAGTGCCTTAATGTATTTGCAGTGATGTTTACGAGGTCTTTACTAAATATTTCATCGGCGAGCCTGGTTGCAGATTATCTGAAGAGCATCTAACTGGGGGCAGGCGCTATGCACGCCGCGCGTCCCCCTGCACTTCCTTCTCTCTGAGGTAGTGGCTTGGCGACAAGGTTCAAAAGCCTCGCCAGAAAGAGAGAGGGCCGAGTCCTCGCGCAAATGGGTTCGCTGGAAGCGCTGATCTGGGGAGACAGAGTGGAAGTGGTGTCAACGCAGTGATCGATACTGAAAACTGGGGTGTGTGTGTGTGTGTGTGTGTGTGTGTGTACGTGTGTGCAATGTTTATATAATCTGGAGGGGAGAGGGGGGAAAAACATGCCAGTAAGTTTAAAATCAGGAAGAACTTAGGGAGGAATAGAGAAGATAACCAATTTAAAAGGGTGTTGGCACAAATAAATAGCACGAGGCCCAAAGCGACCCCGAGATGTCGGAAGAAATCTCCCAGTCCTGGCTCTACGGAGGAACCCAGCCCTGCGCCCGGGCAGGAGGGCCCCAAGCGGCTTCCCGCGGCCCGGCACCCGCCAACCTGCCCTCCTGAGGCTCTCCACCGGGCGCGGAGCCGCGCGGGAAGAAGGAGGAGGCGCGCGGCGGGAGTTGAGCTCGGCCCCGCGGGCCGGCGGGCGTGCGGGCGGGCCCCGCGCCGAGCACCGCCGGCGCTGGCAGCCTGAGCGGCCCTCCCCGAGCCCGGCGGCCCACCCGGCTCTGGTGCATTGTCTAACGTCCCCGAGCGGCCTGAACGTAGGCTGCCCAGCTCCCCGGTGTCCCGAGGGGGAGCCGCCGCCCGGAAGACGCAGGGAGCGTGGGGAGAGCCGCGCGTGGCGCGGGCGCCAGGGGCACACACTCTTCCAGTGCCGGAGGCGCGGCCCCGGCACCTCCAGCCCGCGCAGCCGAAGCCTTCGAGAGAGCGCGTCAGCCCTCCTCGGGCCTCGGCACTTCCCTGATGGAGAGCGGCGCTGAGGACGTTGGGTGGGTCCTGGGCTTGGGCAGAGAGGGGTTAACCAGACCCGACTTCCGCCTAGGCGGGCGCGTGTTTAGAGCGCTGCCTCAGTGGGCCGAGCGGTCAGCGCGGAGCCCAGCCCGAGCCCCCGAGGCGGGCTGGGCGCCTGGGCTGCAGAGGGCACCAGCTGTGGCCCCCAGCTGGGCGCCTCTAGCAAAGCCCAGCGCGGACGGCCCTGGGCTGGACAAGTTGATGACCAGATGTCCCAGACTCGAGCTGAGACAGCTTTCTGATAGAAAACTACAGCCAGACCCATTTTTTTTTTTTTTTTTTTTTTTCCCTTTCGGAAGCAAATCTCAGCTCCTGGCCATGAAGCTTCATAAACGAGCAGGGCCTTGGCTGTTGAGGCATCGGGTTGCGGGGGAGGAGACAGTAGCTATGACACTACTTGACACTTGTTTTTTCTGCCCTTTACCTTCCACCACCATTTCTCCCGAGGTTTTTGCCCAATTTTGGTTATTCTGGTTTTTCTCCTTGCTTCGATCATTAACTTCTTTGTCCCTGAGCGCCTCTCTGTCCCCTTCTTCCAAGGTTACCCCCCCTCTCCTTTTTCAGTGGGACACAGAGACTTCAGTGTGCAGCAAAAAGGCGACACTGCACCTGGGCTCCTTTTGAGACTCGTTCCTTTTGGGTTCATTCCAAGCACCCTGTGTTGGCTTTTTTTTTTTTTAATAAATTTTTTAAAGAATGAAGAATGATAAACTGAAATGTTAAAGTATAGAAAAGGGATAAATTCCTCAGTTTTTAAGGAACTGGAATAGGAGATAAATGTGCATTCTGACCTTAGATTATCATTACTAAATTCAGTGATTCCTCACTACAGTCTATGCCTTGAACTTACATATGTTCAAAAAGGAAAACTCAGACTTTCTTCAAAATCGGCACACCTGCTCTTGAGCCATACTTGTGTGCAGCAGGGCTTCTCAGACTTGAAAGTGCATACGAACCACGCCAGGATTCTTGATTCAGGTCTGTATATATAATGTATATTCCATATATATAATGAGCTCCCAGAAGACCCAGGGGCTGCTGGTCCAGGAAGATCACACTGAATTGTTGAGGCTGGAGCTTCCCATGTCCCCATGCTAGTCTGAGAGGAAAACAGGGACAGCTCAATGCTAGAGGCAAGCAGTGTGGGTTCTTGTGCTGCTTCAACGCTGCATAATAGATAGATAAAGATGCTCACATAGGCGCGCGCGCGCGCGCGCACACACACACACACACACACACACACACACACCTTATTGAGCTTGTGATTAAAGAAGTCATTTCAATTCCTGACTGGACCCGAGCCATGAGGCTGCTGCTGAAATAGCTGCACATTCCAGGACAAAAGTGTTCATGGAGACTCAGGGCATCCAAATTTTGATCCATTTCAAATCTCCAAAGAAAATGCTGGTTTTTGCTAGGAGGGATCCTGATAAGGTTTTGAAATTGGGAAGGCCTCCAACACGAACCAAGTAGGAGAAAGCGGTACTGGCTGTGAGGGTGTCCAGGATTGATGAGGCGATCAAACAAGAGCAAAAGGCAGGCACTGTGTAAACCTTCTCAGGAGATATTTTCAGGAGAGTAAAATGAAAAACAAAGAAACCTATTTCAAATGTTGAGAACAGCCCTTGGATTATTGAGGCCTTCTTCTGAGGGCATATATACTGTATGAAAAAAAGTCCTGAATAAGTCTAATGAGCAAGATCTGTGAAATAAATCATAGATAGAACCCTATTTACGTAAAGGGAAAAATCATGTATCCAAAAGGAAGGCAAAAGGAAAACTTCTGCTAACTTCCACTTATGTTTTAATTGTAAATGGTTAGTTGTTATAATTTCAACAATGAAATTATTAATACATGTTACATGTCCTACATAAAACATACTATATGTAGGAAAAAAGCCACAAGACAAGCAAATGCTCAGAATATCTCTTATCCCACCAAAAAAGAGTCTATGAAACACAGAGGGGATTTAAGCCATTTCTACTTTTAGTTTCTGGTAACTGTTCATTAGGCAACCAACAAGAACCTAGAATTGTTCAAACAGGACAGTAATGTGGTCTACCACATGTCTACCACTTCTTATAGAGGTTAAGTCTAAATTCTAAGCCCCCAAGTAAAATCCTTTTTAACGAAGTCTCAGAAACGAACATTTTTACCATATTTTCACAAAGGGTACAGACAAGAATGAAATCTGTCTCCATATGTTTTCCCATACTCCTTAGTGTACCCAGTATGGTGCTGTGCCATGAGTATTAATGGGGGCAGTTATTTATGTAAATCAGGTTAGAAACAGGGTGAGGGGTAAGGTCTCTATAAAACCTGCCATAAGTCAAATTTTTGTCTTTATCAGGACACTGAGTATTTTTAATTTGGAAAAGATGAGAGAAAACAATAAAATAATTTCCTATGTGTTCATGATATCAAACTCACATTATAGTGATTTTTCTCATTTTGCTTTGAAGAGATTATATACCTTCTATTGCTGTCTTAGCTAAAAGTCTAACGGAGTTGTGGCAGGTCACTCCCAGATAATCTCAACACTGTTGGCAGAATGTACTCTTTAAGAACAAGATAAAGTCTAAATTAACATTGTCCCCTTTTTCTTCTTAAACGTACTCCACTGAAATCCTGAAAAGTCTAACACATTAAGAAACTGAATATACAATATTAATTTGTGACAGATATTTCAAATATGTCAACATTTTTTTTTTCTGGGTTACTCACTAATGGGCCAGCAACTCCTTAATGGCAATCATTTTACATTTGTGAAGTTTTGTTATCACACTGATGTTTTATGTATTATAAGATCTTAAATTGCAAAGACAAACATATCTTTGTGTGAGATTTCTAGAGCACTGTCAAATGTTATTCTGTCAATTCCACCCAGTGCCAAAAAACCTCAGGAGACATAGATTGTAAATGTATTTTATTTTGTAAGCAACAATCAAAATATATTTGTGTTACTGTTTTCTTCAAATATTAAATGGGATCTTAACAAAATTTG